TCATTTTTTGGTCAAATTGAGATTTTTGCCTAACTTTACTCCCCTACCACTGCTGCATCATCCTGTCCGTCTGCCTATGTCATCACAAAAAAATGACTTAGGCACTTATGCTATGAAGCTAACGATATGTAGGTGCTGACATTACCCTCTCTGATTCTTTGTTGATATCTTAGTATGAAGTGTGATGTTTCACAATTTTGTCGTAGTCGTCATGTGTGCCAGATTGCGGGTAAGCCTAACCAGATCAACCCCTGCCCCCTTGTGTCCCATTCCTGTAGTGGATCACCCATTTGACCGTGTCATAGTAGACTGTGTGGGTCCACTACCAAGAACAAAATCAGGAAAGCAATGTCATCTCTCAATCATGTGTGCAGCTACCCGTTTCCCTGAGGCTGTCCCATTACATAAGAAAATCACTTGCCCATGGTCATATTGACTGACCAGGGTTCAAACTTTCAGTCTATGTTATCTAAACAAGTTGCTAGCACTTGTGGAGATCAGGGAAATTGTTTTGCTGCCATTGTCCAGATTAATAATATAATCTACAGCATTGATATTGCATTAAGATGTTTAAACAGTGTGTGTCTTTCAGAAAGACTAAGTTGCAGGCTGACAGGAAATTGCAGGTTTGCAGAGTGTGCCCTTTGCAGAAGTGAAACCTAGGTGTTAAACATGTTGTGTCCTCTGCTTATCATCCTGAATTGCAAGGTCCAATAGAGCGGCGGCATCAGACTTTAAAGATGCTACGTAAGTACTGCCTAAAAGTTGAAAGAAGTTGGGATAAGGGAGTCCCATTTGTGTTATTTGCTGCCCGTGATGTTGTTCAGGAATCACTGGGGTTTAGTCCTTCTGAAACAGTATTTGGCCATACGCCACGCCGTGGTACGTGAGTACTGCCTAAAAGCTGAGAGAAGTTGGGATGAGGGACCACGCCGACCCCTCAAAGCTCTGAATGAGACACTTTTGATTCAGGAGGGGAGTTCCAAAACAAAAGTAAGGAGGTATGTGAAAAACTTCCTTGAGCATTTGAGTTAAGCCAAAGCTCTGGCTAAGCAGCACCTTGCTGTTTCCCAGGAAAAAATGAAATGCCAGTATGATAAGGCTTTTGTTAAAAGAACCTTTCAGGTGGTATGTGGAAGGGTTGACGCGACCCTTCAAACATGAAGTTGATGCCGGTGCTGTCGGGGTTGGGGCAGTGCTGTTGCAAGACTTGCAGGGTTTAGACCGCCCGTTTGTTATTATTCCTGCAAGTTTAATAAAAATCAGGTAAACTACTCCACAAAAGGGGACCCTGGCTTTGTTGTTGGGGTGCAGCATGTCACCTGTTGTTCTGTACACTGATCACAACCCACTCATATTCCTTGCTCGCATGTTTAATCACAACCAGCATCTCGTGCACTGGGCTGTGTTATTGCAGGAATACAATTCAAGTATTCATCATAAAAATGGTTCTGAAAATGTTTTAGCTGATAGTCTGTCCCGATTGTAAACTTGTTTTGAGCTGTTTTTTTGGTAAAACCTGTGGGACACGCTTCCATGATCTAATCTCTGTAATAAAATATTATGATTAACAAAAAGTCTAAAGTCATCATTGGTGGAGTGGACCTCAATGTTTCCTCTGCCATGTTTCACTGTGGAGCTGGTCCATTGTGGTATCTGCGGTTGTTGAATTTATCCTTCTATTATCTACACTGATGATACTGATCAATAAACAATGTCATCAGAAAATGCTTTAGTTTTTTTTTCTCCAGTTTTTAGTGGTTTGGGTTTGTTTGGGGTTTTTTTTAGGTTTTTCATAACAGTTAAGATTTCAATTAAATTTTATTCATATAGGGCCAAATCACAACAACAGTTGCCCCAAGGCACTTTATGTTGTAAAGTAGATCCTATAATAATACAGAGAAAACCCAACACATATGACTCCCTATTGAGCAAGAGTTTGGCGACAGTGGGAAGGAAAAACTCCCTTTTAACAGGAAGAAACCTCCAGCAGAACCAGGCTCAGGGAGGGGCGGGGCCATCTGCTGCGACCGGTCTGGGAAATAGTTGTAAATGAAAGAGACAGAATCATTCAATCATTTCAGCTTCATTAGAATGAACAGAAATTTAGCAAATACAGAATATCATAGATTAAATAAAACATTTGATATATGTACATAAACATGAACCACATTTAATGACTGAAGGCATTATAAATATAATTATCCTAAATGCACTGCTGACAATACTGACACCTTCACTACGTGATCTTCACTTTATCATAGTGTTAATGTATGGAAACATCCGTGAGTGAAAGTGTGTGTGAAGGTGTGTATGTGTGTGTTAGTATCAGGATCAGAGAACGACAGCTTCCTCTATTCCAGTCCAGATTCACTCTGATCCTCTGGAGCTTCTTCTTTATTAGGAGAGCGTCTGGAGCTGATGATAAACATGCTGAGTATTTACCAAAACTTAAAGCCCTCAGAGCCCAGGACAGAGCAGTAATGATCAAACCTCTCTGGATTATCAGGAAGCTGCTGCCTCTCTCCTCCTCGTCTCACACTGGTCAGATCTTCAGACAGGATGAGGTTTGGATAGCAGTGTTTGGGTCCAGGATGAGAGGAGTGTAGGAGACCATGTCCTTCATGTTGTTCCAGATGTTGAAGGTCAGGTTGCCCAGGTGTTTGGCCTGGTCTATCAGAGCTCCTGAGGGCAGCTGTGGATCATCCAGCAGGGGGCAGCGCTGGACTCTTTCCACTGCAGCCTTGTAGTTGTGCAGGAATGAGACGTCTTCAGCTCTCAGCTCCTCCTCTGTGGCTCTGACTGTGTCTGAAAGAGCTGCTATCTCTCTGCTCAGAGCCTCCATCTTCTCCTTCATCATCCCACTCTTCTGCTCCTCTTCCTCCCTCAGTGCAGCCAGCCTGGCCTCCTCTTCCTCTGCTAGAAACTGGTGAAGCTTCTTAAACTGCTCCTTAATCTGCCTCTCTGTGTGTCGGGCCTGGACCTTAATGTGTTCTGCTGTTTGATCAAACTTCACTTGAACTTCTTCACAAACCTTTAACTTCTTCTTTAAGGGCTCCAGAGTTTCCTGAAGTTCCTTCTTGTGTTGTTGTGCAGCTTCATCGATGGGTCTGAATCTGTGATTGGTGTGATTTTCTGAGGCACAGCAGACGACACACACTGGCTGCTGATGGTCCAGGAAGCTGATGGTCTACTACCACTTAAGGTGGTAGAGTTTGTATGCCCCTGTGGTCTGGGAGCTGGACTAAGCAGGGCAATTGACCCTTGTAATATCACCCAGCATATTGGTTTCAGAACCAATCTCCTGGGTCTGGTCTGGATTGTGTCTTTATCCAGAATGCCCATGGTGAGAGGTTCAGAGTGAGGGATACTAGAGTTATCCTGAAAGAGAAAGGTAAAGCCTTTTTATTTTTGCTTTTCCACAAAAAATCAATCCTGAAATCAAGACTTTTTTGGGGGTGGTTGGGTGCTTTGCACCCAAACAGACAGACAGACATCACGTTCGTAATGGTAAGTTTTAATTTCCCATCACAATCAAGACGAACAGGATGATTTGAAAGATTCACCCACTTAGGGTGGTGGAGTTTATATGCCCCTGATGATCAGGGTCTCATAATTCTATGCCTGCTTTGTACTGAAGTCTATAGTCAGCCTCCTTAGTCTTGCTGATGTTTAGGAGGAGGTTGCTTGTTGATGTTGTCGAGATCAGGCCCAAACAGCAGTGTCATCAGCAAACTTGACAATGGAGGTGGTTCTGATGTGGCTACGTCATAAGTGTACAGTGAGTCAGCAGGGGGCTTTAAAACACAGCCCTGAGGCACTCCAGTGCTGAGTGAGATGTGAGGGGGAGACTTGTTTTCCCACCCTCCCTGACTGGAGTCTGTCTGTGAGGAAGTTGAGGATCCACTGACACAGTGAATGAGTCAATGAGACCTAAAACCTTCAACCTGGTGAAAAGCTTTGAGGGAATTATTGTGTTAAATGCTGAACTGTAGTCCATGGACAGCATCCTAGCATAATTCCCTCTGCCAGTGTCCAGGTGACTCAGGGATGTGTGGAGCATCGTCTGAGAAACGATCAGTCAGCTGTATGTTGCTGAAGGAAAAAATACTAGTCTAGACCTAATATCTATTATTTTCAAGATGTCTAAAGACACACTCCCACCTCTGTCACACTGCAGGGAAACAAAACAACCTTTTTGAATTAAGAACTTTATGGTCAAAGTTCTCAAATGGCTTTTAGCTTGATTCACATCCGGTGACTGAGGAGTAGTAGGTCTAAGTGCATTAAGATGAAGTCAGTGGCTTTCAGGTCACGATAACAGCTCATGCAGAAGACTGTGCTGTTGGTCTTTACCCACCTGTCACAAGTTTTATCAGTGCACATACTCTCAAATATTCTGGGTGGATGTTGGATGCTATAAAAGGAGGAAGAAAATTGAGTTTCTGGATTAAAATGTTTTCATATTATTTACAAAGTGACAGTGACAGTCACAAGGAGAGAAAAAAAAGTCCATAAGAAGAAATCATCAGACTTGCACAGACTACACCAAAAACAAGATTTAACAAGAACTGCACCAATACAACATCAACTGTGGATTGTTTCCCCCATATTTTTTTCTTGAAGAAAATTTCTTTAATCCAGATTTAGTACTTTTTGTCACACTTACAACAACAACAACAACAATATTGTTACACTACTATATAACACTATTGTTTCTATTATTTGCTCCTTTATTTAAACAATGAGATCAAGATCTCTTAGTCAAAAGAGACCTGTGCACAAAAAATACAAAAATTGAGAAAAAGAGCCAGATAACAAAATGACACATTATAACACACACAAACTCTGGAATAGTCCTTCCAGATAAATAAAACCTTTAAAGTGTAATCAGAGGATGCAACTGCATATTCCTTTACGTTTTTCATAAGTACAATTAAATTAACACAAGAAAGAACTTAGTATTGTATTTTTACAATGTGCTAGTAATAAACAGAAAAAAAAACTAGTCCTCCCTCCCGCCAGACGTTTCTGCGCAGTGACGTCATAGCCAGAGAAGATGGCGGCTGTGCTGAAGGCGGAAGGTAAAGGAGCTTTAAACAGATTGTTTTACCTCCGAACTCTGTGCTGCTCTCGACTGTCTGCTCTCGTCTAGCTCGCTCTGTTTTATACGGTATATCTGGAAAGGAGCCACCGCTGGCTGGCTCGGTGTAGCGTGCTGTGACCGGCAGGTGAAGCCCTGCAGCTGGGCTCCGGGACTGCTTTAATCACCGCGGAGGCGAGCCTGTTACCAGCAGCTAGCCGAGCTCCGCCGGTGGAGTTAGACGGCTAGCAGAGCAGCTAACACCCAAACATCCGCACTCGCATCTGAGTTCCCCTCCGAGTGTAGATCATGAGGGCTTGAATAAATGCAGCGCTGCGTTAAAACCTGTTGTTTTCTGGGTAACTGTGCTAATTGTTAACGCAAAGGCGTGAAACGTTAGCTTTGACCAGCCAGCTGCAGCTGAGCTCCCGCGGGCAGGGTGCTGTGCTCTGCGAGGCGGCCATAGCACCCATGAGAATCCGGGGTCTGAGCCCGGCCTGTGGAGACCGAGCCTGTGTGGGAGGAGGAGGGATCCTCTACACAAGAGGCTCAGCGTCATCTGTTATCTGTGAACCTGCCTCAGTGAGCGTCTTGATGATTAGAACTAAATCGGATATCGATCAAGTGACAGCTGGCATGTTTTCTGTGTGTGTGTGTGTGTGTGTGTGTGTGTGTGAGACAGCAGGTGATGTTTGGGTTTTATTCACGAATTAATCAAAGAAGTCATTCTGTGGGTTAATCATCACACACTCACACCGTGAAGCTGTTGTTATGTAACTAAACACACACAAACACACTCCTATCCCAACACACACCCACTTTACACGCTCTCCATGTAAAGTGGGTGCAAATTCAGCTGTTGCTAGGCAACAGGGAGCTATTGAAGAAGTGCGTGGCTGTCTGTGTGTTTGTGTGGAGCTGGTCAGTTGAGATATCAGATGTGTATGTTTGCAGCTCTTGTTTGTCATTGATCACACTGATGACCTGTTCTGTGTGTGTGTAGCGGGGCAGTGCAGGCCGCCTTGCCTTGTGTGAGACTCATCCTGCATGGACTCGTCACCATGAGCAACAAGGAGATGGTTTCCCCGGAGACAGGTCAGTCCCATCCACCTGCACACAGACAGTGACTGCATGGTGTCGCGTTTGTGTGTCCATCAGATCAATGAGTTCTTCTTTAACGGATTTCTGATTTCCTGCCAGGCCTCACGAGCTGCTGTGTTTGGTGCTGTGTGTCTTACTGCAGGTGTAGCTGGTTGTGTCTTTCATTGTGAGTCAGAGGATCAATATGTCACTTCTTCTTGCAGTTGAAGTGTTTTAGCTCTTTCTGTCTTCTCATGTATTTGTTTGTGACTGTTTGTCCAGCTGGACCGGCTCTTAAACTTCGCTGTCCTTCTTTTATTATTTATGCTGTTTCTTTGTTATTGTGTCTGTTTTCGCTTTGATATTTGTTGTTATTTATCTTTTTTTTATATAAAACTATTAAATAAATGTAAGATTACATGTGTTTATTCTTATTTATTTAACCGGTTTTGTATTATTAGGGTTTTTGGTTCTATCTCAGGTATATTACTACTGAACTGTATATTTTAATATTACTGGACCTAGTTTTATTTCAAATAAACAGAATTTTATTTTATTACTGATATTTTATTACTATTATTGTTAGTAGTAGTTATAAATTATGCTATATTATTTTTACTTCTACCCCTTTCCTTCAAATCTGTTCTAAAAAGGTTTATTTTTATTGAAGTGAAAAAATGAAAAAATAATTATAAAAAACAAATATTTCAAGTTTAACATTTTTTATTTATTATTATTAATATAAGTTGGATACTTTTTTAAGCTTGTTGTCCACATTAGCTCTTTAGATATTGTTTAAATTTCATTTTCGTGTTGTATTACCTTCATTTTGTTTTTATATATTTACTGTTTAGTTTACTTGATCATTTTAACTTTATGTAAAAAAAATTGTTAAAAAAATTAAATCATGATTAAACAAAATCATTTCATAGCGTTTATTCATGTTTTAATTCATGTTAAAATGTTTAGATATTATACAATTTGTAATAATTATTATTATATGTATATTAATATGTAGTTTTTAAAATAATAATAACAATCATCTCTTCAGAGCAACAGCTAGATGTTTGTTTTGGGTTTTTTCAACTAGCTGAAAGAAAAAACGTCATTAGTCGGTTAAAAGATTTATTTTTGTTTAATTAATGTTAGTGTTGCTAGTGTTGTTAGTGTTGCTATGACGATGTAATGGCGCCCCCTGTGACCTTTGCTCTCTGATGGAAAGCTGTAAATAAGGGAGGTGGACAGTAAGAAGCCGTTTTGTTGGTGTTCTGTGGTTTTCTGCTCTGTTCGCGTGTGAAATGACTCAGTGAAAGGCTGATCGCAGGTCCTGTACTACAGGACGAAAACAAGAGTGCAGACATATTAATCTGATGAAATCAAAGGATGAACCTGCTGGAGGGCAGACGTTAGGAAGCTCCTCTGAGGGAACATTAGAGACGCTTTGGTTGCCGAGGCGTCTGCAGCTGTTTAATTTTACCTGTTTTAAGTCTTTACCAAAGTTTGACTGCAGCTCACAGCGTTACGTCGTGTAGGATTTCATCGTGTGTAATCTGTTTCAGCTACCAGTGACATGGAGATGCTTCAGTCAGATAACGCCCTGCAGACTCACTGTGGTCTGATGATGTTTGCTGCTGTGGAGCTCTGCTGTGTCAGCTGTGTCTCAGTAAACCAAACAGAAGAAGTCAGTGCTGCTCTGACTCGGTGACCTCATCCACTAAACTCTGTTTCAGTGTTTCTGAATGCTTTCCTACTTTTAGACTCACTGACAGTCTGACATTTCCTCTCGATGAAATCATTAGTGAATGAGCTCCTGGGTGCTTCGGTAACATATCGCGGAACAAGTGTCCCAGTTTCCTGCAGTACATCAGAGATATAGTGGGTCCCCGTGTATCTTTACTGGTGGAGGAGGGGTGGGGTTTGTGAGATCTTCAAGCTCGGCTCCTCTGTTAGAGACCTGAGAGTTTGAGGGTCAAGATTAGCAAAATAATAAAGTACAAAAGAAAAAGAAAGAAAGATGGAGGCAGGCTGGAAAACCGGTTAAGTCTCTAATTGAACTTGTTTATATTGTAAAGCCAGTGATGGTGCATGAAGCCCCTGACAGGACATTTTCATACCTTTAACTCGTTGAACTTTGGCACGCAGTCATCCACACGGATCCCCGCGCCCAGCTACACCTGAGTTCGGCGGCTTTTTGCTGCTCGCTGTGGTCAAACTGAGGTTGCACACGTTGCCAACTCAGACGCGTCTATTTTTAGTCTCAGTTGTGAGTGAAACGCTGGCTCTGCCCAGCTGCGATTGGTGGAACGTGTCCACTGTCTGACACTTTGTTTTTCTGTTCATCAGTCCTGGGTCATTTTGTCCTTCATGTCATATCCTGTAAAAACCTCTAAAAAAGTGTTTGTTTGTTTTTACCTAAAAATGTGACTGTTTTCCGCCCTCTTTGCTGAGATCCTGAGATATTCAGAGATTAATGTTCAGGATTCGGGCCTTTAATCGGTGCTTCTTCCACATCGCATCATCTACCTCCACCTCTTCCTATCCCAGCATACTCCTCTGTTACACCAACCCTCTGCATGTCCTCCTTCATCCTTGAACCTCCTCTGAGCTATTCCTCTGTTCCTCCTGCCTGGCAGCTCCACCTTCATCCTCCACCCTCCCTCCTCTGCACATGCTCAGACCTTCTCAGCCTCTCTGACTGAGCTGTCCCTGTGATGGACTCATTTCTAATCGTGTCCTCTCTCACTGAGGGTGATGATGATGAGAATTTGAGGTGTTTGTCCGCATCAGAACCAGCAGAGCCACTAACTGTGTGTGTGTGTGTGTGTGTGTGTGTGTGTGTGTGTGTGTGTGTGCGCAGAGAACAAAGGACAGAGGAAGGTGTTTCTTCCCAACAAGCTGCTCGAGTGTCTCCCTCGCTCGTCCAGCCTGCCTAATGAGCGGCTCAGGTGGAACACTAACGAGGTGAGTTCTCGTGTGATCCTCGTTTCCTGTTTGACGCAACCGGTGGAGGCAGGAAGTGACATCACACGGAGGATATTATCATTATCACTGTTTAAAACAACACACAACAGACCGAGGTAGGATCAGAGAAGCAGGTCAAGAATGAAAGCAGAATTTCAAACTTTTAAAGGTAAGCTGTTCTATTACCCACGCTCGTGTCCTCCATCACTGCTGTTATCATCACTTTTAAGTGAGGACTTTCGGGGCAGGCTCAGAGGTGCGATCCCTTTAAAACTGGTGTTTACTTGCGACTTTCCCCGCAACCCTCCCTGCCCCAGAAAGACAGTCAGAGAGCCCTTGGGCCTCCACCCACTGTGAGCGTAGGTGACTGCATCAGGTCGGACATGCACGTGAATACAATGGTAACAATAGCAGAGGGGCCGTTCTTTAAATGTGAGGCAGAAACCGTCAGTTTGAGGAACTAAAACCTGCACAGGCCTCGCTGCTCTGAGTGTTTCTGCTCTGATAATCGAGCTGCTCTGATAAATATGAAACAGAAACTCAAGAAGTCCCGTCATTTATTCAGTCTGCACACGCCACACTGTCTAAACCTGATGAGCCTGTTACAGTTGACAGTTCCCGCCGTCACCATCTGTGGGGTTTTCTGACTTTGAAAGGAAGATTTGGCAGTTCCAGCGTCGCAGATGTGGCTGATTGTTTTATTTTACATAATTATAACTCGGATATTCTGGTCGTTCTAACTAACAACTAACTGCTGCTCAGTCCGATGTTTTACTGGGACATTGAAAGCCTCCTGAAGTTTTCGGGGTCACGAAACGATATGACAGAAAACGTTTTCTTTAGCGTCAGCAGAAAACGTTTCATCCTGTATGTCGACTGTAACGCTGTTTTTACGAGCAGTTCACTCTGAGCTCTACGTGTGATTTTAAATCATGTAAATCGTCTTTGTTTCTGCAGGAAATCGCTTCCTACCTGATATCCTTCGACAGACATGACGAGTGGCTCTCCTGCACCCTCAAAACCAGGTACAGACCCAGAGCACACCTGTCATACACAAACAGCTCAGGGCCTCTCTCCTGTTGGATTTTATTGATTGATTGATCGGTTTGTGTGTCAGGCCGAAGAACGGCAGCATCATCCTGTACAACAGGAAGAAGGTGAAGTACAGAAAGGACGGATACTGCTGGAAGAAAAGGAAGGATGGAAAGACGACAAGAGAAGACCACATGAAGCTGAAGGTCCAGGGCATGGAGGTCTGCAGCACGTGCACACACACACCTGAGCACAGCTGCTCCCCCTGCAGGACGCACAGTGTCACAGCACAGCAGAAGGAATACTGTTTGTGAGATTATTGTGGGAGGAAATAAGATGCATTTGCTGCCCTGAACATTATCTCTATGAATAAAGACGAAGCTCGTGTCCACATCCTGTTTTAGATCAGTCAGTTAGTCCAGGCTGCAGCAGCGACACAGCGTCTGCTCTTATTTTGAAAGGATCGTGCTGTTCTATTAGCGAGTGTTGAGGCTGATCCCTGCTCAACTGTGCTGGTCTCTGGGTTTCAGTGCCTGTATGGTTGCTACGTCCATTCCTCCATCGTGCCAACATTCCACAGACGATGCTACTGGCTGCTGCAGGTCAGAATAAACACCCCGTCACACACACATTAACACACACCACGCTGCCACTGGTTTGCAGCCAGTTTTCCAAGTGGTGTTGATTCAGCGCTTACAAGGAACCATATAGAAAGAAGTTGTCCTCAGCTTGTTTACAGGTTCCTTTTATTTACTGCAGTGTGTGAGCGACTGCAGGCTTAAACATCATTAAGATTAAACAACACTGAGATTAAATGTTGGTGTTTCCACTGACAAAGTTCAGAGCTCGAGTTTACTCCTGAAGTATGATGCTGAGTTCCCTAGTTTATTGATAGATGCAGTTTATTCTTCGAGTTTAGTTCCCAAATTTGTTTACTGTTTTTAATTTAAAAGTAAAGTTTAGGATTTAGTCTCAGACTGGTTCACCAGTTATGGTACTGAGTTTAGCTCAGAGTTTAGTTCCATGTTTTTCCATCGTTTTCAAATTTTAGTCTCTCCTGGGGTTTAGTTCCTTACTCAGAGTTTAGTTCCCAATCTGTAATTTAGTTACAAAGTTTAATCTAGTATTAGTTCCAACCTGTTACCCAACTTGTTTAGTTCCAAATTTAGTTGTAAAATTTAGTTCCCAGTGATTTAGTTCTTACCTTAAGACCATGGTTTGTAGTTCCCAAACTGAACTTTTGGTTCCCAAGTGGTTACAGCTTGTTTTCCAGTTAGTTAGAAAGTTTAGTTCCCAAACTACACCTTTAGTTCCAGCGTTAAGTCCCAGACTTATTTCCATGTTTCATGTCTAAGTTTAGTTACCTGGGATTTGGCTCTTGACTTCAGACCAGAGTTTAGTTCCCGAGTTTAGTTGCTGTATTTAGTTCCTGGTGTTAGTTTCCAAGTTTATTTACCAGTGTTTGATCCTAGATTTATTATTTGTTTTATTATTTGTTACTTGAATTCCTGAGTTTAGTCCCTAGTTTAGTTACAAGGCTGCAGGTAAGCACGAGCAGAGTGTGAGGGTCCCTAAAACTGCGTATCAGAACTAAGACATCAACTGCAGGCTATAGCAAGTGTACGCACTTGCAGTCTCAGTTAGCGGTACTTTCCCATGCAGACACATGCACATACATGCAGACACAAAATAATAGAAAAAGTAAACCTAAAATAGTATTAATCAGTGTGTTTCTGTGCGACAGAACCCAGACATCGTGCTGGTCCACTACCTGAACGTGCCATCCCTGGAGGATTCTGGGAAATGCAGTCCACTGCTTTGCGCGGTGGCCGACCGCCATGACAGCGTACGCTGGAGCCGAGACGACCTGCTGAGCCAGCTGAGGCCCATGTGTATGCACGAACACCTAACTGCATGTGTTTGCCACATTGTGTGGATGCAGAGTGTGTGTGTGTTTTGTAGTACTAATGTGTAGTTTTACTGTGTTTCAGTCCACAGTATGAAGTGTTCAGTTGGTGCGGGAGATTTCAGTATTGAGGAGTTGGTTCAGCAAATCCTGGACCGACAAAGAACCAAACCACAGCCGCGCACACACACCTGCCTGTGTAACACTGCCCAGGGTGAGCCCTGAACACCTTGACTGTGACATCGCCATGACATCACAGAGTGAAACTAACCACCCGGCCCTGTTTATCTCTGAGCACAGTATCATCCGGAGTGAACATTCCCCACCGATGTAACAGCACCAAGCATCGCATCATCTCCCCGAAACTCCCACCCTCTTCCTGTAGGCCATCCGCCTCGCCGGTGTCCTCTGAGCTGGGGGAGGTGGGGAGAGGAGGAGCGGGAGGAGAAGCCAAACTGCCTCACCTTCAGGCTCAGACCAGCCCGGCCTCATCTCCCTGCCCCTCGTCCACGTAAGTCATCCGCACAGGAAAACGAGAAGTTATCAGTCGAACTGTGAACGTTCCTGCTCGAGTCCTTTTGGTTTGGTGGTTCGTTTTAAGCGAGATAGCCCAAAGAAAGCAAAGAAAAAGCCATAAAGCACTTCAATTAAAATAGTTTAAAAAGTCATTGGCTTGGTTGGAGCATCTGTAATTCTCGTTATTGTCCTTTTGAACTGTTTGATCCCGAGAGAAAAGCGTTTTATTTTAAAGCAGCCCTGCCTCAGATTCACACTGACTCTGCAGAGAACACATATGGACTCACTGATTGTGAAATTCATGAACAATTTGTGGCAGAAAGTTGTCAGAGGGTATTGATCATGATCATGATCATTGATCATGAGCTCGTTTCCTGATTGATCGATTAGTCCTGTTTGTTTCCCACAGCTCCTCCTCCTCCCCGCCTCAATCCCACCGAGCTGCTGTCACCATGAGTAACAACGGTAACGGTTTCTACGGAGACCGCCATGGCAACCTAACGACGGTGGCACTGCCACAGAATGCAGTCATTGTCATGGCGACTGCTGCCATAACAGGAGAGGGAGGAGGGGGCGGCGTGGCGAGAGCGGAGGAGGCGGGTTTGCGGAGGAGCCTGTCATTCACCGGCTCTGGGCAGTTGCTGCTTTCCCCGGCCCTCCCTCCCCCAGGCATCAAGCCCACCTCCCCTTCCCCTCCAACTTCCTCCTCCTCACCTGCCCCCCCTTCCCTCCCCCCGCCTCCTGTGCAGGCACCAGGCGTGACCACCCTCTCACTCACTCTTCTGCCCTCCCCGGTTATTGGAGGCCTTCTCTTAACCCCGTCTTCCTCCAACACATCCACCTCCCTCTGCTCCCCACCACCTCCTGCTGCCGCTGTCTCCCCACCCTCTCCCCCCTCCTCCCCCTCACCCCCGCCGCCGCCTCCCCCATCCCTTCCCCCTGCCTTTGATCCTGACTCGTTCCTCAACTCCCCCAAACAAGGCCAGACGTACGGCGGCCCTGTTCCTCCTCCTTCCTCCTCGTCCACTCCCATCTCTTTCATGTGCACCACCTCCTCCCCCTTCTCTCCCCCCTCCCTCGCTCTCTCCCTGTCCCCCACCTCCACCCCTCCATCCTCTGTTTCCCCTCCTTCCTCACTGTCCTCCCTCTCATCTTCCTGTGAAGTGGACAGGAGAGACTCAGTCCTCCCTCTTTCTGCCTCTCCTTCCTCCTCCTCCTCTTCTCCCCAAGTTCAGTCTACAATGCCCCCCTCCCTATCACTGTCTCCCACGTCCACTGTGGCCCCGCCCCTGCTGCCGCTCTGCTTGGAGCTCGGAGCTCTGGGGGAGTCGGAGGCAGTGAGGGAGGATGCAGAAGAAGAGGTGAAGGACAGGAGAGGGGAAGATGATGATGATGAAGGAAGTGCTCCTCCCTCTAAACTCGCTCTCCTGCAGGTGAGGATGTGCTCGATCTATTTCTTTTTAAAAACCTTCAGTGGGGGACTGTTTCCTGTAGCAGAAGCTTGTGACCCTCCTCCTACATCAACACCCTTTTTATTTCTCTGCCTTCCAGACAAACCATGCCTCCTCCAGCTTGGCACCACGGCAACAGACCATTAGCAGTTCTGCCTCCCTGCTCCTGGTGTGTCAGAGTGCGGCGACCCAGGCCTGCCAGCCGGCCAGTCAGACTTACCGACAGGCTGACGAGCATCAGCATCCGTTAAACCCCGGGCAACACTCCAATCACCTGTGTATACCTGAGGCCCCAACCCCAGCTCAGACATCCCGTCAGCCCTTGTTGCTGCAGCAGCAGTCTTCAATATTTGCCAACAGTGACGCTAACATGGACTCCACACCTGCTGCTGTTGCCATGGATACTGCTATCCAGGTGAAAGAGGAGAGCAGGCGGGGCTCCGACTCTGAGGACACCTGCATGAACACTCAGCTGGAGGAGGAGGCGGAGCCCTGCGAGCGGGGAGGGGAGGAGCTTGACATCTCCTTTGACAGTCAGTTTCCTGACCTCATCTCTGACCTCATGACAGAGGAGGCCAATCCTGTCGCGGCTCATTGCGCTGCCGTCTCCGCCGTGCCAAGCCCTGCCGTGTTTCCGGCAGGAGTCCGCTACGTCGTTCCTCCCCAGCCCTCCCCTTCCTCCTCCTTTCTCCCTTTTCCTCACCCGCTGCCCGCCTCCTCCACACGCCTCGCTTCCATCACAGACTTCTCCCCGGAGTGGTCGTACCCCGAGGTAATCAGTCGCCAATAAATCAGCTTCACAGTCGAGCAATCAGTCAATAGAAAATCAGTCAGAAAGTTTACAGTGAAGGAGTCCAGTGATCGGGACATTGATCAGACGAGTCAGTGATTGATGCTCTGAGCTTCTTTCACAGGCAGGGTGGAGTTCAGCTGCTCGTCCACAAGAGGGCAGCAGAGTCCAGCAGCTGATTCAGACCAGTCTCTACCTTCACTGTCGTCATTGTCATTATTTATCGTCAGTGAGGTTTTATTGCTTTAACTGGGTAAAAGTTAGAAGATTGAACCTGATGTCCATAAAACGACATGATGCATCGATGCAGCCGACTGTGATTGGCCTGTTCACTATGGTCAGACCCTCCTGCTGCTTCTTGTGGTGTTGGACATTTGTACAGGCCACGTCGTACATTTATCACAGAAGTACAACTCACACATCATAAGCCGCCCCCAGAGAGAGAGCTCGTGACATGATGATTTCTTTGTGTTCTTACTCGTCTCGCAATTGAAAAATGTTTTTTGTTTCATTCTTTCTAACTGAGGGAAAGCTGGCACAACATCACATGACCAATTTAAGACGACACAACTACAAGATGCAGTGACCCAGAGTCTCCATTTCAAATTGGGTAGAAAGGGAGGACTTCAAACTATAGATTTTAAATTGTGTCGATAGGCCAAACCAGTTATGATTAAAAAATGGCGACGGAAAGCGGGCGAGTGGAAGAAAGAGAGAGAGTGAGTTTTCATATTCGAGACATTAGTGACGCTTAGTGTTTGCAGGCTGTAGTTAGTGTGTTGTGTGTTGTGTGTCAGTTATGCTGCTGAATGTCACATTTGCTCCACAAAAGCCACCAAAGGCAGATTCCAGTGGAAACGCTTCATCTCGGATTTGACTTTTTTTTGTCTGAATTTAGATCAATTGTGATACTATAGTGTGTAAAAATGAAAAAATAACTCCAATTTCAGATATTTGAGGTTGTGCTGAAAATAGTGATACCAGACAAGGCAAGATAAACAGTTTTTAAAGGTGAAATATAGAGGTAAAATCAAAAGTAGTCAAAAACGGCCAGTTATACCCTGGACCCAGAGAGTTAATTAAATATTTCTAAGAGGGAGACTCAAGAGAAATGTGAAGAATTGAAGGGGGTCAGTACGGTGGGTTTGGTGGTGCGAGGAGCTCAGATGATCCGACAGGTGTATTTTGCTCATAGTGAAAGGTAAGGTCTCTCAGAAAAATTATGCGTAGATAATTGTAATAAAATATTAATTTTTAATGTTTTTTTCATCGCTGTTGTGTTTTTTTTAATGCAAACTCTCTATGGGTTGCAAAAAACCCTGTACATGATGGAGGGAACACAACTTTCAATTTATCCAAGATTCGACGCGACAAAAAAGATGGAAATTTTTGCTGGATGTAATTAAACAGATTGTCGTCGCCCTGCTGAGTTGGTGGTGTGGGCACCCAAGTTTGTGAACGCGATAATTCAACAACGAAGTGATGTAGGATTTTGAAATCGTGCCACAGGTGCTTCTACTAACAGGGGTAGCAAACTTTTAACATCCTCATCTTTAATAACGAACTTCTTCTTGTGTACTTTGATCAGTAAACATGTCGATTGTTCTGTCTCTGGAGACAAAGTGTTGCACAGAGTCAAATGTCTGGCAAGAGGTTGAAAAAATTATTGTCAGAATTACAGATGTGTCATCCTCACGTCACACAGTATAAAAGGATAAAGTAACTGTGTGTGTTATTAAATACATAATAAATATTTTGTTTTTAAATACATGTATCTAAAGGTCTTTAAGTGATGACTCATCAGTCCTCGTCGTGTCCTCTGCAGGGCGGAGTAAAGGTGCTGATAACAGGGCCGTGGAGCGAGCCGTCGGGTCGGTATTCATGCGTGTTCGATCAGAGCACCGTCCCCGCCTCGCTGATCCAGCCTGGGGTGCTGCGCTGCTACTGTCCTGGTACACACAGATTTTCCTCTTCCAGCCTGACTATGCTGATTGAAATGGCGCATGTGACCTGACAGACTCTCCCATCTCCTGTCTTTCAGCCCATGAGGCCGGCCTGGTCTGTCTGCAGGTCCTGGAGTCTGGAGGTTCGGTTTCTTCTTCGGTCCTGTTCGAGTACAGAGCAAGGAACGCCAGCTCTCTGCCCAGCTCTCAGCTCGACTGGCTCTCACTAGACGGTCAGATTTCCCTCTCTATGTCGCCACCTACACATGACAAATAATTAACGTGGAAG